CAGCATTGCAATTGAAAATATGAGAAATAACAGAGTTCATAGGAAAAGAATTAGATTAGAGTCATGGGCCCAACTCATACACATTAAGAAAAACATTATAAATAACATTTTTTTAGAAGAATACACTAAGACTAATTGGAATAATTAAGTATGTTACTCTTTAACAGAGGAAGTGGTTCTATAAAGCGTGAACTGAGTATATACTTTAATTGAAGAAATTTTCTTACTAGAAGAACTTGAGGAAGGTTTTAGAATGATAAAAATGAAGTTAAATTTTTGAGTGGTAATTGAGGGCCCTCTACATTATTGTCAATGGTTTGTCACACGTGGAAAAGAATCCCAAAGAAAGAACAAAGAACTCAGCAGCGCCTAACAATTTCTATCCAATTAATTATCAAATTGACAAATGGTAACATTGTGCCACCGTTAATTTTGCGATGCCTAATTCATCTTGAAAATAGTTTAAATACATAATCACTTGGATTCAGATTCAATTTTGTCTTAAAAATTGCGTAGGAATTGTTGGCATCTGGAAATTTTTGATCTAAAAAATAGCAAATCTACTATAACCGTTGAAAAACTAACATTAAGCTAATGTTGATTGTTAATATTTTTAATGATATGGGTAACATTGCTCCTTTTCTAAGGTTCATATTTATTACTCATATTTATTTAAATCATAATACATTTTTATTCATTTTTTTTTTGAATTATTAAATATCTTTAATAATTCCATTACTCTATAAGGTTAAAATGTATTTTTTTTATTTAATTATATTATATTCTTTTCTTAAGGGTGACATGCTAAAATTGCACAATTTTTCAACATATTTTCATCCAACCAGCCATAAAATTTTTCATCAATTCATTTTTCATTTTGGTACCAACCAAACAGGCTTTTGACCCGAAATTTTCCATTTCCTTCTTTTTCATTCTTGTCCATTCCAACCGATTTTTCCTATAAATCAGACACTTAAAAAAGTGCTTCAGCATATTTGTTCTTGTCTTGTTAGATTGAATAAGTATTTATTTGGCAAACTCCCATAATCAGGAAACAAAATTTAAAAAAAAAAAACTATTCATATGAGCGCGGAGCTCTAACATCTTGTTCCATCTTTTTCATGGCCTTCTTTTGCATGTACCCGTAAATATGTGTTTATTTTTATCGTTTCTCTTGGCGTTTTAATTTATTTTTAATAACTTAAAATCAAATAATTTTATTCTCTTATGTATTTTAAAACATTATCTTTATATTCTTTAATTTTCCCAATTTGATATATATTTTATATATCCAATCAAATTATACAAGAATTACCGTCTAACCACGACCTAACAGTAGTAATGTTGGCTCCAGCAATAAAAGAGAGAGCATTATTTTCCGCCCACAAGTCACTTTTTAATGATCCACCTATTGCATTTACTCTCCTTTTGATTTGAATAAAAAGCAATTTGTACTGTCAGTGTTGAATAGGACTCACATCCACCGACTTCCACTGTTTGTTTAGGGTCTATTTGAGGCAATAGCCTCTCTCTGTTCACCAAATCACCACTGTTCTGCAGTTTGGATTCCTCTCACCAATTTGTGTGTAAAATTAAAAGTATTAGAATATACTTAAAATGTCGAATGAGAATGGAAAAGTCAGTCAATGCCTTTAGTTGGAGGAGGGCCCATGTCTCCGGTGATAGCGTTTATTCTGTTTTTTTCTTTTGAGCTGGCATTGCCATTCTTTGGTTGAAATATTGGCGGCTAGTACATAATTTTTGAATTAATGTGCAATTTTTACAGTCTGTAAATGAGGTTGTACGAAAGAATGTCACAAGTAATTTATTATAAGAAGAGGAGTGATAATTCAAGATAAGTACTATGAGCATATAGCCTCTCTATGTTCACCAATATACCACCACAGTTTCTGCTGCTTCAGTTCCATTTGGGTTGTCGATCATCATCTCTCCCACTTGTTTGAAGTTTCTGTTATTATTCTTCTTCCACAATCTTCTTGTTTGTTTGTTGGATCCTTCCTTTTGATCGTTTCTCCCTTGTGCTTCTTCTTTAATAATTTGTTTGCCCTCCTCCTCTGTACTTCGATCCTCTCCTTTCACTTTCATCTCTACTTCCATCCATCGTCAAGACATTGACATAGAAAAATTGTGTGCTCTTCTTTTCAGTTCTTTGATTTGTCTTTCTTTAAAAAAAGGGAAAAAAATTGTGTGTTCTACTTGAATTCCTGTTTTCACTTTTTTTCTCTCCGGTTACTAAGGTTTCTGCTGTTTCAAAGTCTGTCCATTGAAAGGAGCCTGTATTTTTTAAACTTTGTTTTGTGTTAATTTGAATTATTTTCTACTTTAATTTTGGTTGATCATCGTTATCGTTGTTCATAGAAAACCCAACAAAAGTTTGTGTTTAAATTTTCTTTTCTCCTTAATCGTTGTTCTCGTAGTCCCCTTATCTTAAAAATATAAAAAACAAAAAACAAAAAAAACAAAACAAAAAGAGGCCTTTATATCCAAGGCATCTTTTGAGAGGTGAGTATTTGTACTCCACTATACTTATGAATTATATTTATATCTTTTTTTTTAAATACATGTATATATGTGCGCGTGTAACACACATATTGTCTCTTAAACTTTCTTTGACTTGTTTTTATTTTTCAGATCTTAGTTGGTCACCTGAAGCCTGCTTGAAGATTTTGGATTCCTGTTAATTTCCAGGTTAGTATGTGTACAGTTTTAATTGTAGTATTATTTATAAAAAATTTTACAGCTACTATCAACTCAGGTGCGGGTTATGTATACTAAATAATTGATCTCCTAAACATCTTCAGTTTTATTTATCAAATCCTGATTGGTTACATGAAACTTACTTACAGATTTGTAATTTTTGTTGTCATTTTAGACCAAAATAGAAAGGAAATTGAGGGGGGAAAAGGGGAAGATTGCCATTACCTGTTTTTTTAATAGCTTATTTACTTTAATTATAAGTTAGGGAAGGCTTTTGTGCTTGAGTATTCAAACAAAGTTTTAAATTAGGTGTATTATCCGTAATACTGCATCTCTCTATAGTTTTACTACCCCGGTGATTATCTTCAAATAAAGCTAATTCAATTTCAGTGCTGCTTACCGTTTGGACCATCAAAATAAATATGGTCCATGTTTAATATATATTATTTTAACTATTTTTTATTTTAATAATGTATGATTTTAAATTAAATAATCTTTTAATCCTCGTTTTGTTAAAAAATCAATTTATTGTTTGAAAATTTACCTTTAAATATATGAAGTTAACTTGGAAATATTAAATTATTATTATTTTTATATAAATTTACGTGTAAATTTAAGAAGTTAAATTTTGCTTGTAAACGTGCTATGTTTCAATTTTGTAAATTATAAATTTACTATTTTATTAAAAGTATTTTTGACCGGGCAGCGGTTGTTGGTGGTTGGTCAGCGCATTTTTTTTTTTTTTAAAAAAACCATTGTCACTGGAAGTTAAAGCCAAGGGATATGTGCGACATTTTATATCAAGTTTCAAGAAATTTGAAAATATCTTGTATATTATTTGCTGGGTTCAAATCTTTTTTTCTGCCTAATCGTTGTTCTCATAGACTCATAATGCTCTTCTCGGGAAAAAAAAACAAGGCTTTTACAGCAAAACAAAAAAATAAATTAAAGATTTTGTAGGATGAGGGCCAAGTAGTAAATAAGATTTATTTTGATGTATTTTTTAATTTGAAATATACTTTTAGAATATTTTAAAATATTCTTTGATAGTATTAACAGTCAGGACTAAAATATAAAATGTTAAAGTATATTTTTAGTCATTTAACTTTATACAATGTTTCAATTTAATTTTTTAACTTTTAAAAATATATTTTTGGTCATTTAATCCTAAAACCGTTAATAAAAAAAGGATAATATTGATATTTTAAATGTTAATAAAATATTATTACATGTTAACATATTAAGTTTAAATTTTAAAACAACCACGATTACTACAAAAACTTATCGTTTAAAATTAATAATTTTAGAATTAAATGACTAGAAAGACACTTTAGCCAATATAAAAATAAAAAGGGGTGCATGTGTGGTTAAGGTGAAATAAAAGGATAGTTAGGATATTTTAATTAAAATAAAAAATGTGTTTTACTAACTAATAAATCATCTTCTTAGATCTACAAATCATCTTCTCAAATTTACAAGCGGATCTAATTATAAGTGCTCTTTAGCTTATTAAGTTATAAACTTTGAAGTTGGTTTATAAATTTATAGAACAACTCATGAACTTAAGAAGTTGAACGGCAAATCGATTTGTAAAAGAATCAATAAAAACATCATGTAAATTTACTTATAAATCTATTAGCTTGAGTGTTAAATATTAAAGTATCAATTTTTTTAGACATTTACTTGTAAATTTATAATGTACTGTTTGACTGGTACATTAGTATAAATTAAGTATTTCAATAAAAACATTTTAAGGAAATTTTTGACTAGTCAAAAGTTGTCAGGAGTCAATCAACACCCATCTGTCAAAGGCAAAGGGCACACATGACATTTTGTAAGTGAAATTAATTACAATTGACTCACAAGGAACTCTTGAAAATACTTATCTAACAAATTCGTTGGCACTTACTTGTAAATAAATCCCTTATTTGGGACATATATAATATTTTCTTTAGTCATGAAATCCTAGTTAAGGAGATCAAAATGAAAGAAATAAAAAAATATGTAGGAGAAAAGGAGAAAGAACAAAAAACGCACTCTAAGAGTAAGAACATTCTCGTAGGTTCTTTAAACTAAGTTTGCATAACGTTCCTTTTGATGTAGACTTTCGTGAGAATTATTTTTCTTGTATGCTATCTAGAATATGGTAGGTGTAGTTGAAACATTTATAATAGAAGTGTAGCCAACAGTCCCTAATTGCATCGCATATCCGTGCATGTTAGATGGCGGCAATAGGAGAGGGCGTGGCCACCCATGTCGCGGAATCATCGGTAGATAAAGCAATGAAGGAACTCAAATACTTGTGTCGTTACAAGACCTATGTTGATGACTTCGAAGAGGAGAAGAAAAGTTTGACTGCAAGAAGAAACACGGTGCTCAAGAATATTGAAGATGCCAGGCACCGAAATGAAAATCAGGTTGAAGATGAAGTTGAACTGTGGTTAGAAAGAGCCAATGGTCTCATAGGAGAAGACACAAAAGGAAAGAAGAAATGGTTTGGTTTGGTCACTAATTGCTTTTGGCAGTACAAGCGAGGCAAGGAGCTGGAAAGGAAGACGCAAACGATTAAACGACTGATGGAACAGAGTAACTTCGCTCGTGTTGCTCGATCAACTGGGCTTCCAGGCATCGAGTTCTATTCTTCTTCAAATTTTATGACTTTTGAGGATAGAAAGTTGATCTCTGAGAAGCTGAAGGAGGCATTGAAAGATGACAACAAGTTTATGATTGGATTGTATGGGCTAGGTGGAACAGGGAAAACCACAATGGCAATAGAAGTAGGTAAAGATGTGGAACCAAAGTTGTTTGATAAAGTCATCTTCAGTGTTGTCTCAAAGGATGCAAACTTGAAAAATATTCGGGACAACATTGCAAAACACATGGGTCTGCGTTTAACCCAAGGAGAGGATGAATCTGAACAAGCGCAAATATTATGGAAAAGAATAGCAGAAGGTGGAGAAAAGGTACTTATAATACTAGATGACGTGTGGCAAAAGCTTACACTGCGAGAAATAGGGATTCCTCTTGGCCGCCATGGCAAGGGTTGTTGTGCTATTTTGCTGACCACACGTGATCTGAGAGTTTGTATAGATATGGGATGCGATGAGCTTATTAAACTTGAGGTCCTAAATGAAAAGGATGCAGTTGATCTTTTCCTATCTTATGCTGGCAGGAGCATAGATGGTCCTTCCAATGGTTTTAAGGATGTGGCTTTAGGCATTGTGAAGGAGTGTGGAAGTTTACCAGTTGCAATTGTAGCAGTGGCAAGTGCACTAAAGTCTAGGCCTTTATCAGAATGGCAGGATGGTTTGAAAAGATTGCAGACTCATGAGGGAATTCACGATGTTAAAGAAGAGTTAAAACCGGCTTATAACTCTTTGAGATTAAGCTATGATAATCTCAAGAATGAAAAGGCGCAACAACTCTTCCTCCTGTGCTCTCTCTTCCCGGAAGATTATGAAATACCTATAGAACTTTTAACCAGGATTGCTATAGGTGTTGGCCTTTGTGGAGAAGCTAACATATACTCTGATGCAAGGAGTCATTTTACTCCAATTAAAAATGAGCTCACAGATTCCTGTTTGTTATTAAAGGATGAGAATGAATGTGTCAAAATGCATGACTTGGTTCGGGAGGTAGCTCTATGGATTGGAAACAAACATGTTCAAGCGGGCATGAATTCTAACTCAACTTTAATGGAAAACATCCAATATTCATCTTGGAACATAGTTGACTTTCCGAATCATTTTGATGGCAAAAAACTTGAGGTTCTTTTACTTTGGATAAATGATGCAAATTCTCCTTGGATCAAAGTTCCTGATGCTCCCTTTGAAGGGATGGAGAACCTTAAAATTTTGGCTTTAATGGGTTTGTCAGATTTAGAAACTTTAGCTACTTCCTTATTTCAATCGCCTTTGTCATTGACAAATGTTCGAACTTTGGCCATAAAGAATTTTAAGTCATTAGGAGATATATCTATTTTGGCAAATCTAAAAAACCTTGAGAGCCTTGAATTGAACAATTGTTCGATTATTGAATTGCCAAAAGAAATTAAAGAACTTCAAAAATTAAGATTGTTGGAGATGGTGAACTGTTCTTTTACTGGAAGAAATAATCCTTTTGAAGTGATTGGAAGTTGTTTTCTCTTAGAGGAGCTGTATTACGATTCAAATCTTGTGGATGATTATGACGGGCAAATTACAACAATTCCTAGATTGGAAAGGTATCACATAATGGATCGGGTTCCGGTTTATTATAGTGATTATAAAGAGGATTCTTCAGTATCTAGATATTTTAATTCAATGAACTTAAAAGTATACTTCTCCAATGAAATATTTAAGCTCCTTGTGGCAAGAGCCGAAGTTTTGGTTTTAGGACGAGATTACTACAACAGAGGATGGACAAATATTGTTCCTGACATAATATCTGTGGAAGATGACAGCACGAGAGATCAATTAACTAGGCTCTCTTTGGATTCAACGAATGAGATAAAGTGCCTAATCCATACTGAGAATCTCCGACCTGGTGTGGCTATCTTCTCCAAGTTGGTTGAACTGATGCTTTCTTCTGTGGATGTGAGAGAACTATGCCATGGGCCTTATCCTGTTGACTTTTTGAAGCAACTAAAGGAGCTGGATTTATCTAGATGTGAAAAATTGGAAGGCACGTTATTTGATGGCAAGTTAGAGCTGTGTAATCTTAAATCCATATATCTAAATGAATGTTCAATGACATGCCTTTTTCATGCATCCACAGCACAGAGTCTAAAGCAGTTGGAAAAAGTGGATATTACAAAATGTTCGAAGTTGAAATACATAGTAGCAGAGACTATGGATGATCAGGATCCTAATCAAAAGAGTCATGACTCAATGTTGCCAAAATTGAAATATCTCACGATATACCTCTGTGCTGAATTAGAATTTATATTGCCAATATGTTTTTGTGAAGACCTTCCACTACTAGAAAGTATGAAGATTGAAGATTGTGAGAAACTAAAATACGTATTTGGGCAATATCCAAAGCATAGAGATTTGCACCAAATGGGGAAAGAAGCCATCCTCCAGTTGCTAGAAGAATTGAGAATTTATGAGGTACCGAATTTCATCAACATATATGCAGAATGTTATCTCCCACAGCCTTGTTCTGATGAAGTTCAAAAGTCATCTCCAAGTGCAAAAGTAGACAGCAGTAGCAGTCTATCAAGGGGTCATCTATGTTGTTTTTGGGCAAAATCAAAAGCCTCAACTATACGTCACACTTCTGCTCCCATAGACACTCAATCAAACCATAATCAGGTAATATCTGTTACTCTATTTTGTTTTAAATCTTTATTTGTAATAATTTATGAATCACCCAAATATGCTTTGCTAAACTTCTTCTTGTATATATGATGAGAATATCAATTTGTCTTAAAGTAACAAAATTAATTTTGCATTTCTCTTTTTTCCATCTAATTGAGACACTAGGCACGGTTGGCAAAAACCAAAAAATTCGCTCAAATATATGCTGCAAATTACTTGCACGTTTTTTTTGGCACATTATATTTACACTGCTTTGGGTCTTCCTCTGTACGCTACCCACCCGAAAATTTGTCCATTTATAAATTACTGATTGTAGAAGAACTTAATTTTGTTGGGAAAATTGGGGGAAGGACCCAAAAAAAGTAATATTTACTAAAAAAGATCTGATTATAAGAAGCAAATACTAAAATATAAATTTAAAATATAATAAATTATCCCTAAGTCCCTAACAATCCTTAATTTAAACTAAAATTTTTAATAATCCTTTTCTCATCAATATTTGAAACGAAATTTATTAAAATCAGTCAAAATCATTTATATTAATCTATCTAAAATATCTTATATATCTAAACACACAATGAAGTAAAATCATTCATCTGCATGAATTGTGCTATCAATAGTTAATTTTTAAGCTGCAATTGAAAGCCCTCTTTTTTCCCCCAAATATCTCTTTCTTGACTTATTTTTTATAAATCGTTTTACCATATTTTTTTTATATATATTTAAATTTAAATGGATATATTTTAATTAATTTCAATAAATAGAATTAGAACTTTTATAAATATTTTTACCAATTTCAATTTTTGAAAATAGAAAATAATTAATTAAATAACATTATTAATATTTATTTTTACCTAAAATTTTCCATTCCCTTAATTTTAAAAGGGAGAATCCCAAAGAATTACCTTTGAATTTTAAAATTCTAAATCGGTCATGCTTGCTACACTTTAATAGCAATTGATAACATTGGAGAAGTAAATGACAACATATTTTTGTAGTCATTTTTTATTTGAGATTTTGAAATTTTAGAGATATTTTTTTAGAATTTTTTCATCTTTAAATTTTTTTTATTACCATTTACTTTAATACAAACATATCAAGATCGAGAAAAAACAAAACAAAAAGATTATAAAAATTGATAACAAATAAGAAATAGTGTGCAGATAAAAATTATAGCTATGAAAAACTTTATGAGTAATGTTTGATCAATTTGATTTCTACATTATTTTTATGCCACCATATATCTCCCTCAAAAATCATATGAAACCAACTTACGGGCTCATTTTTCTTCTGATTCGTTGATTTATGTTGAAAGTGATACAATTTTACTTTTAATCCAATATTGTTAAAATATGAAATTTGTTGTTATGTATTATAGGAGTTGATCCCTAAAACACGGAGGGAGCGTATGTGAGATGTGGTTAGAGAAAATCTAAGAATTTAGTTAGGAATAGTTTATTATTTTTGAAATTACAGTTTTATATTTGATCCTTATAAATGATTACAAATTTTAATATCTCTTCAATAAATATTATTTTTTGTAGGTTGTTCTCTTTAATTTTCCCCAATTTGTTTATATATAGTAGATCTTTCTTGTAATATTAGAAAAGTTTGAACCTTAAACCTATACCATAACTTGCACCATTCGTTTTCAATTTATGAAAGGCGAAGAATCCTCACATGTTTGTATGGAATACAGGCATTAAAGGTGAAATATGTTGTCAACAGAGCTCATGGTCTTTTCACGCCACCATTATACCCATGTAGAAGTTTGAGATGGATACGGATATTTGGATTTTCTGAGTTAAAGTCACTCTTTACGCCATCCATTGCCTCATCATTGAAATTGCTGGAACAGTTGGCAGTTGGAAATTGCGATGCACTAGAGCACATAGTAACAGATGAGGAGCATGGTCATGATCGTGGGAATGTTAACTCTATTTTCCCAAACTTACGGGAGGTTGGAGTCTGTGACTGTAGCCACTTGGAATACATTTTCCCTGCTTTTTATTCAAAAGACTTGAAGCATTTAGAATCTGTGGAGATCACCGGGGCTGGAATGTTGACACATGTCTTTGGGAAATGCCGTGCTGATGAGAATCTTAATGTTCAGGTTGATATTAATCTCCCAGCTTTGAAAAGCCTAGACCTTTGTGATTTACCAAATATGGTTGGCATTTGTGCTAAAAACTATTATGTGAAGGAACTATATCTAGAAGATATTGGGTTGAATGAATGCCCACAACTTCCTTTGAAAACTTTGATGGACTTATTGGTTGATGGGCATAAAAGACAAGAAGATCTGTCAAGAAGAAAGGTAAACCTCTTTCCGACTTCTTTTTCTAGTTAATTTATGATTGATCAACTAAGAAAATCATTAATACTAATATATCTTGATGATACCCACAGGCATTACCTCTTGAGAAGAAAGGTAAACCACTTTCCAACACGCAAGAATTGCCCAAGTTGGAGGATATTGGTGTGGAACCTATTATTTACATGAGCTTTCAAAATCTTTCCAAGCTAACAATCCAGGGATGCAAGCATTTGAAATTTATCTTCTGCGCATCTACCTTAAGATGGCTGCAAAAACTGAAAAGGTTATGGGTATCAGAGTGCGAAGAGCTAGTGAGCATTATGGAGGATGAAGAGAATCACAAAAATCCTATGACTCTCCATCAAGTATGTTTCCCAGAGCTACGCGGAGTAACAGTGACGCATTGCATAAGTTTAAAATGCTTGTTCCCTATGTCATGTGGTAAGCTTCCACGACTCTTGTATGTGAGTATAGTAGATGCCCCTCAGCTTGGGCAAGTATTTGGATGGAAGCAGGCAGAGGGACAGAAGCTGGTCTTGGAGAATGTGCTTCCCAAACTAATTGCAATAAGACTAGTAAAACTGCCAAATCTTCATACTATCTGTCAAGGGATTGATTTTCATACTGTTAAAATCCGTCGTGTGCGTCAATGTCCTGCTATTTCTTTACCTTCAGCTTATGATGGTAGCATCCAAGAAAGTAAGCATTTACAGAGCTAATTCATTACACCTACTAATTGCTACAATTTGTTCTCATAATAATGTAGTTGTTTTATTTTGGCAGTGGATGAATTACTATCTCAAACACTGTCTAATGAAGACTACTATGACTACGAGGAGGATATTTGTGACTGGGCTTATGAGGTTAGTGTCAAACTTAATAAAATGGCTTAATCAGCTTAAAGATATTGGGGGGGGGGGGGGACAGGGAGATGAGAAATGATAATATTTACACCAGGATTAACTAAAAATAAAATTGACCAATGCATGAATAAAAATTTCCCCCGTTACCAGTATTTTGGCAGAAATTCCATACTCCACCAATTTTTCCTATTTAGTGGGTTAAGATTGCAATCTTTATTAATGACTTCAACTCACTATTTTCTTTATACTCTGTTCTAAGGAATTAGAGCCAACTCTAGAGAGAGACCCAACAATAGTCAGTAACAGAATAAGCGTGTGTGCTACCAAGCCAATACATCCCCTCTTACATATTATTCTTCCTTTATTCCAAATTTTAGCTTGATTTAATTCGTAAAGTTTAATGATCAGAGTTCAACTCATTTCATCTTTTCTTATATGTTTTGTGATTGTTCAGGATGAACGGGAATCCGAGCGGGCAGAGGCATCCGAGGTTATTGAAGGAGACTCCATAGTTTCACCAAAATCACCAGAGGTACATGGATTATGCTTTTGTTGCGAAATTATAGAGAAACGGTTAATAACAACAACTACAAATTTTGGTAGAAATTGACCAATACATGAATAAAAATTTCGCTCGCTACTGATTTTGGCGGAAATTCCATACAACATCCACCGCTTTTTCCTATTTTGTGGGTTAAGATTACAATTTTGTTAATGAATAATTAATTTGCATGTCCTTATAATTTCAAACAATTTTTAATCAGGTCATTATATCTCTGCTTGATTTTATTTAGGTTTTGTAGTTTTTTCTCTCTTTATCGGGTGCTTATAATTTCACATAATTTTATCAGATCTTTGTATATTTTTAATTTGATTTATTAATTTATCTTAAATTAATTAAATAAATAATATTAAAAATATAATTTATTAATAATAAATTTAAATTAATTTTTATTTAATTATGAAAATAATTAAATAATTATTAATTTTTAAATGATTCGAATTATAAATTATAAATGGGTTTCAATTATATTACGATTTTAGAAAATTTTATTATTATAATTCAAATTTTATGGTTATAATAATAAATAAAAATATTATTATAAAATGAACATGGATATATGTTTAATTCAAAAGTTTCAAAGAACAATAAAATAAAATTGTTACCTAAGAATATTATTAGGACTTATAGAATAAAGAATAAAAATTTTCAAGGGCATGATTGAATATCAAATGAAACTATAAGAACTTGATGAAAAGATTAAAAAAAAAAAACTACAAGACCCTAAATAAAACAAGTGAAAGTATAAGGACTTGATAACAAGAAAAAAAATTATATGAGCCTAATTAAAAATTAGTTAAAATTATAAGGATCTGTATATTAACTATTCTTTTTATTAATAATGACTTCAATTCACTATTTTGTTTGATATTATTATTATGTGGAATTAGAGGAAGCTCTGGAGAGAGACCTCATAATAGTCAATACCATAACAAAAAAAGAGTGTGTTACCAAGCCAACACATTCTTACATATTTTCTTATTCCTTTGTTTCAAATTTTAGTTTGATTTGTAAAGTTTATTTTGTAAAGTAAACTTCTTAACAACTCATTTCTCAACAAAATAATTTCATTTCTATTTTCATTTAACGACTCTTAGTTATGTAGCAATGCAGAAGTGGAAGGAGTTTAATAGTAATGATTTTGTTTTTAATTTATACAAGAGTTTGCAGGAGCCTACGATGCATCTTTAGGAATCAAAGTTTAAAAAAAAAATAGTTAAATTGATTAATTGTAACAACTATGTGTTAGCTTAATCAGCTTAAAGAGATCGGAAGAAAAAAAAAAAACAGGGAGATGAGAAGTGATAATTTTTACACCAAGCTTAAGTAAAAATAAAATTGACCAATACATGAATAAAAGTTTCCCTCGCTACTAATATTTTAGCAGAAGCCCCCAATTTTTCCTGTTTAGTGGGCTAAGACTACAATCTTTATTAATGACCTCAACTCACTATTTTCTTTATACCCTGTTCTGAGGAATCAGAGCTAACTCTGGTGAGAGACTAACAAATTTTAGCATGATTTGTACATTTTTTATTGTTTTGATTGAACGGGCATGCTTATTGAAGAAGATTACATAATATAGTACACAAGCATAATCCATCTATTGAGTTAATAGAGAAAAAGGTATAAAAACAATAATTGCACAGAACATGAAATACACGTGTCAAGCAATTATATCAATAGCTAATGAAAATATAAGGGTCTTCTGGTATGTTCTGACGATTTAGGCTTGAGATGTTTAGGTTTGACATTGCTGGGCTTAGCAGATTTATTCTTAACCATTTTGGACCAAATGTTTGTGTTATTCTCAACAACTTCACGATAATCAAACAATGTCATAAACTTCTTAACAACTCATTTCTCAACAAATACTTTCACTTGCATTTTCATTAACAATTCTCAATTATGCAGCAATGCAGAAGTGGAAAGGGTTTAATAGTAATGATATTGTTTTTAGTTTATATAGGAGTTTGCAAGAGCCTCTCATATACCTTGTAGGAATCAAAGTTGATGTTGATTGTAAACTAATATATCTTCTATTATTTTTCAGATCAAAGAAGAGGAATCATTAGAAGAAGACATGAAAAAAGACTCAACAATGTCCCAACAGAATAATGGTTCACCAAATTTTGAAAAAGTATGCATATCATACTTTTCCTATAACTAACTACACTTACGAAATCAACAATTGATTTCTCTCTTACCTCACTGTTTTATTCATTTGTTTGAAATAAATCAAGTGTTTTTTTAATAAATATTGTGTGCTAATTCGATTTATTATGGTGATTAACACCATAAAAACTCAGCTTATCTTCTTTTTATATCTTTTTGTTGATGTTTAGAGTGAGGAAGTATCAAAGGAAATTGGCATAAGAGACTCCACAACACACAAAACAAAAAGTAATTTTCCAAATTTGACAGAGGTATGTACATTGGTAGTCTCTAACAAGGACTCGAACCAACAAAGAGTTCTCTTTAAATTAATATACCATGTGCTTCTTAATTATTTTAACATTTTTAGTAACCCATTCATATTTTACGAGTTACATAGGATACCATTGCATCAACAAGTGGAATTGTCGAAGAAAAACTCTCAACAACTCCGTCATCTAGTTCAGACATGGTAAGGATTGTTCTTCAATTTATGCTTCCACTGGTTTGTACATATACATTCATACATACATATATATATATATATTTCCCCGAACACATGGTCATGTGGAAGTGGAAATGCCTTATAATAATAATGATTTTGTTTTATGGATAAGAGTTGGTGGGAGCCTCTAATGCATAACTTGGTGATCAAAGTGGACCCTAACAGTAAGCTTAAAACAGATTTAAGATACCAACAGATTGTAAGTTTAGAGAGTACTAAAGCAGTAGCAAATGAACTCGTTAGGTCGGTTCCTATTTCTTATATATGCCCGCAATGACTCTCCATCATTTAGTTCAAATAATTTAAGAGTGAATCCCAGAACAAAGACCTTCACTTGTATGTTTACTGAACTAATCATTTCAAAAAAATAGTATAGGCGTTTAATTTGTAGGAGCCTTTAATGCACCACTTGGCTATATATTACTCCCTGTCCAATCCTGTACATAAGTAACTTTTAATTATCTCACCAACCAAGAAGAAGTAGGTACATTATTGATATTGTTTGAAAAGGAAAAAAAAAATCCCAATTACTCTCATTAAATGCGTCATCTTGAAAAACAATTAGCTCTCTCATATGCACCCTCTTACCCCTAGAAAATTGCAAAAGGCTAAAATTAAAAGACAATAATGGTAACCTAGAGTCTTTTTTATTATAAATCAAATCAAATCATGAATTCAGAATTAAGCAACACATCCCCACCAACATTTGCCATTGTTTAAGAAAATTAGCTCACATGTAAGAATATTATGCTTCCTTATATGGGTTGAATCAACAAGCACTATCAAAATCAGGATATGATATGCGTTCTAATGATTCACAAAATGCTAACATTTGACAGAAGATTATACTATTTACAATGCTTTAGTGTCGTAGAAATAATCCTTAAACTTACGTATCATTTGGTGTTGGGCAGAATCTCAAAGCAACTTTTGGAGAAGGTCCTTCATTTGAGAAGTATGACAAAGAAAGTTCATCAGCTTATTCAAAGCCGAAAACTGAAGAACCTTACACATTAGCTCCTTCTGAAGTAAGCTCGCTACATTCATTTTAGCTTTATATAAATGTCTTGTTGTTTATTCATTCCTTAATTTGCTTAGGAGTTATGTGGAAAGGAACCAATGGGTGATCAACAAGCACCTGGAGAAAATAAAACCTCTAATGAACCTCCTCAAAGAGTTGAAGAACCTATCAAAGAATTTTCCTCCAAAGAAACATCAAATGAAATGGTATTGATGATACCACCATCTATTTCTTCTGGAAAGACCTCTCCACTAGTAAATATTTGGTTTCTAATACATTTGCATTATTAATAAATTATTGGCTTCCATTCAAATTCATCTTTCCATTTCTACGCTTTTAGGTCTCTTCAATCCCATCTCCCAAAAAGCCTCAAATAGCAACTTCAGCATCTCACGTGGAAATGGAGTCAGGGATCTCTGCTATTACCGATCACACTGCCCAAGTAAGCCTTCATTTTATTGCATTGGTTTAGGGATGAAATTTTATTCTTTGAAACTGGCATAAACTTAATGCTAGAATAGACCAATTTGATAATCAACTGGTGCTTTGTTTTTATGAAGCAACAGGAGCGTATTTTGATTCCACTATATATCACCTTCTTTTCAATCTAATACCTAAATAAACTAACTGGTATGAACAATTCTTTTCAATCTGCACCTGATTAAGAAGGTCAACAATTGATAACTCTGTTTCCTTTGCTTAGACATAAATATGCGGAAGGAAACGCATTTTAATTCATTATATCCTGTTGGTTACAATAATGGTTGCTTCATTTGATTCACTTTAACAGGATAAAACCACGGAGAAACCAGAGACCTCCGCTGGGAAACAAATCAAGTTTGACCAAGGAAACCAGAAGCAATTTGCAGAAGATGATCTGATGAGATTGTTCCGAATAATGGACGAAGGTGCTGAAATGGAAGTTCACATACCTGATGTATCCAAAATTGCAGCTCTTCGAGATGATAACGAGTTGAAGAAGGCTCTCACTGACTTGGAAGCCTCATTGAAGATGAGTCTGAGTGAAATAACTTGCTCCGAAGAGAGCAAACTTCGCCTTGAGAATGCTCTCAACATCTTATCCTCCCACTGTTCTGAAGAAGGAGCTCCCTCTCATGGCCTTCAAGCTACAATTCACTCTTTGCAACAAGAAATCCAGACTGTTCTATCTTCCTCCAAGCAAGCCTATGCCTCTATTGACACATTCAACGAGCTTGAACGAAAAGAGAAGCTTATAACTGAAGAAGCTTCAAAGAGAAAGGAAGCAGCCACAACTCTTCTGTCTAAAATTCACAATAAAGAGAGTTCTTTGGCCGAGGCTCAGCAAAAAGAAGCAGAGTTGAAGGAGAAAATCTCTAAGATTCAGGCTGAAGTGTATAGGAAGGAAAAAGAAATCCAAGAGTGTGAGATTGAACTGTTATCTCTCAAAGAACAGAAGAAGAAGAGTGTTTTTGAGACAATGGGGCTGATAAACCAGTTCGACGCAGTGAAGAGAGAAAGGTATCACATGGAGGAAGAAAACATAAAAGCAAAGCAACAACTACAAAATATGGATGTTAAGTGGTCTTCTTGTCTATCCAATCTGAGAAAAGTCACACCGCTACTAGGAGTTCGTCTTCAACATAAGCTTTCATAGTTGGAGACTGATATTTTAATTTCCTAAACAATTCTACTGTGTGGTCGTGTTTATTAGTTGGTTTGTTAGCTATGTATGTTGTGGGTTTTGTGTTTTGAGTTCTTATGATTAAAACAAAAAAACAAAAAAAATGAAGAGGAAATTATTAAAAAAAACAAAGTAGGACGTGCGGGTAATGATTGTTGAAGACTCGTTATTGTACATATGGCTTTGATTGTAGTGAAATTTTTCTGGACTGGGTCCCGTGGTTTTTATCTCTCACATTGAGGGGGTTTTCCACGTTAAAAAATTGTGTGTTCTGTAGTTTTTTTTTTACGTGATACATTTTTTTAACATTTAGATTATTTTATAGAAATTATTTTAACTTAGCTTTTAAAAATAAAAATTGTGTCTACTATATTATATTACCTCCCATCTTTAATAATTAATATAAGATTGAGTTGACTAATTTAAAGAAATTAAAGAAGTTAATAAATTTTTTTAAACTATTTAGATTTATTACTTTTTTAAAACTAATTTTCCTTATTTATAAAATGATCTATAGTCTAATCATTTTTTTTTTATATTTAGAGAGATCATATAATAGATGTTATGATTAAGTCATGTAGTAATTTTTTTAATCTCCTTAATTTATTAAACTAGGTCTTCTATTAGTAACTGGAGGTAGTATTATATTTGTGCACATTTTTTCCCCGAATACATTTTTAAGATACCTACACAATGGCTAATGTGGTACTTCATTGTTCACTCAGGCAAAAATGTTTCAATATATTGACTTACAAAAAAGTTTAATTACAAGCTTACAATAGCCTCAAGAAGCGAAATTGCTAAGCAAAAGTTATGGATTCTAGATTAAATTTTTCATCCACGAAGTTCAGATTTATTTCTCTAACGATTATTTCTCTCATAGTCGATGAGTCATAGAGGGATTCAAATGACAAAGCGAGTTATAGATTTTAGATTAAATTTTTGGAATTTTACGAAATGATTTTTTTCAGTATTAATCTTTAATTTTTTTCCTTTCATTCAAAAAATACTCTCATATCATATTTTTATTTATTTTATTTATTTGTACTACTAAAGATATTAAATGTAAGTATTGGAAAGGTAAATATTGGACTGTTTATTATTAAAGAAAACCACACTGCCACTTCAAAAGTTTCTGCGTGATGAATTCTTATGTTAATTCTTCATTATCCTTTGAACATTTGATTATTTTACTCGATTTTTGAGTAAAATAGTATGTTTCCAGAAATACAATATAGAAACAGAAGCTCTATTTTTTTTTTTTTTCAATTGCTCTGTTTTATCATTCTCTGTTTCCAGAAATGTTTCAAGGAAACGAATATTTCTCCTCCTACTTTTTACTTCTTTTTTTTAATTTTTTTTTTACTTATATGGTATTTATCTAACGTTCTCTAATGGCACGGACTTAATTATAACTTGGTAAATTGTGCAAAGTTAAATAAATAAATAAATAATTAGGTAATAATCATGGGACCTATTTTGAAATCCATGATAAAATTATAAGAATAAAAACTTAGCTTCGTTCATACCAAAATGGAGGATGAAATACTGAAAGCAAAGTTAAATGCACAAAGTTATTCTGTAAATTAAAGAAAGTAAAATAGTGTGGTAGAAGGATGATATATATACCTTTCTTCAATTTCTGAAAAGTCCATAGCTAGATTCCATCACACACACACGCACAATACAAAGTTGAAGAGTCATAGTTTTACCTTTCTGCCACAATTCAAATTTCAGAGACAAGCGAAGTACCAAACTCATCATTTCCCATCACTAAAGCTCCTGCTTTTGTAAACCAGTCTTCGTGTTTCATATTGGTCTTTGAATCCTTCTTGTGTTTCCAATCTTTCCTTTCATTTGTCTGTCTATTAATTAGTAGCGTTGTTTTGTTGTTCTTCTGATTCAAAATAAAACAAAATGGAAAAGAAAAGACACAGAAAAAATTCTTCCTCTTCCTCTTCTTCAAACCAGTTTGTGTGTTTATTATTTTCTTCCTGTGTTCCTTCTTGTGTCTCTTTCCACATATTCTTCCTTTGATTTTTCATTTCTCTTTCTATTAAAAGAGTTTTTAATTTGTTTTTTCCTTCTTTTGTAAAGAACAAATTTTAACCTCTATTAAATTATTGTCTTTCTACTCTCAAAACTATTGATTATTGTTATCATTGTTCTTCTCCTTCTTGTTTAGAGAAAACAAAAAAAAAAATTGTGTTCAAAACTTCCAGTATTACTTTGTTTGTTTTTTGTCTTTATATTTAAATTTCTCATTTGATTTTTTTCTCTCTACCATCGTTGTTCTCATAGTTCCTTTTCTTACCCCTAAAAAAAAAAAGGAAAGGCAAAACAAAAAAGGCTTTTATATCGAAGGCATTGCAGCTTAAACGCATAGAATTCTCTGAGAGGTAAGAATTTGTGCCCCATGATGCTTATGAACTAAGTTTGCATCTTCTTTTTGTACACTCGCACATGTACGTATGCATGTATGTATAATATATATATATATATATATCTCTCTGTGTGTGTGTGTGTGTATTGTCACTTTAACGTTCTACAACTCCTTTTTATTTATTAGATCTTGGTTGGCTGGTTACACGAAGCACAATTGAAGATTTCATTCATGTTTCCAGGTTAGTATACGCATAATTTTCACATTAATAATCATTTGAAACATATTCTTGTTATTGATTTTTCTGTCATAAACAACACAACCGTTTTAAGCTGAGTCTCACTTTGCTTACATGTTTTATTGTGAGGCATACAACTATATATATAAGCATTAATTAGTAACATACTTATCTGGTCCTATTTATAGGGCAAAGAGAGAAGAAATTTTTTTGTTCTATTTATAAGGCACTGAGAAAAAAAAAATTTTGGATGGATGTACAATTTTACCTTTTATTTATTATTATGTTTACTTTGTTTATATAAGGTATAATGTATATTAACTAAGAATAAAGTTGAAAAGTTGTTGAAATTTAAATGAGAGTTAATGAAGTTTAAAATTTTTCTTAGTTTGTGTGAAACATGTTGAAAATTATTTACAAATAGGACCAGAGGAGTATTGTATTTGGGCTTTGACCTTCTAGATATTTTTATATTAAATCTCCTAAATATTTTCATTTTTATTCATCAAATTTTGGTTGCCTGCATAAAGCTTACTTGAAAATTTAAAATTTTGGTTGTCATTCTGGCCTCCAAAGGAAATCTCGAAAGAAAAGAAAAGAAATGAAATAAAGAGAAAAAAACGATGAGATACCTATAGAACTTTTAGCCGTCCCAGGCTTTACGGGAAAGCTAATAAACATTCTGCTGCAAGAAGTCATTTCACTTCAATTAAAAATGAGCTCATGGATTGTTGTTTATTTTTAAAGGCTGAGAATGAATGCATCAAAATGTATGACTTGGTTTGGGAAGTGGCTTTGTTGATTGGGGAGATAACTTTTCAACAGGGCGTGGGTTATAACTTAATAACTTTAAGGGAGTACATCAGATGTAAACCTTAGAACATAACTAACTTTTCACGTTATTTTTGAGGGTCTTTAAGTTTGGATAAATAATGCAAATTCAAAAGCCAATAGATACTATCTTTGAACGGATCAAGAGCCTTAAAAATTTGGCTATAGTATGCTCATTAGATATTCTAATTTCAGCGGCATTCTTATTTCAATTTCCACTGTCACTAATAAATGCTTGAACTTTAACCTTTAAGGACTTGAGTAAAGAGATATATCTTCGACCTGACGTGGCTATCTTCTCCAAGTTGGTTGAACTGGAGCTCTTTTCCATGGATGATAGGGAACTATGTCATGGTTCTTATCCTGGTGATTTTTTTAAGCAACAAAAGGAGCTACAGTTATCCAAATATGAAAAACTGGAAAGCACGTTATTTGATGACAAGATGGAGCTTTATAATCTTAAGCGCATAGATTTATGTGGATGTTCAATGACAAGCCTTTTTCATCCATCCACAGCACATATTTGGACAACAATATCCTAAGGAAACAGATTTAAATTTGGACCAAAAGGGAAAAGGAAACATCCTTCAATTTTTAGAAGAAGTGTGCATTTGGGGAGCACCAAATTTCATCAACATATATGCAGAATATGAAGTACAAAAGTCTTCTCCAATTACAAAAGTGGAAGTTGGCACTAGCAGCTTATCAAAGAATCTTTTGCATTGTTTTTGGCCAAAATCAAATGCCTCTACCAAACATCATCTTTCTGCTTCCATGACCACCCAACTGAATCATAAACAGGTAATACATGATGCAAATTACTCGCAAGTTATTTTTTTCAAGTCATGAAAGAAAAACTCATGTTTGCATGGAATACAGGCATTAAAGCTGAACTATGTTGTGAATAGAGCTCATGGACTTTTTACACCACCATTATACCCATTCACAAGTTTGAGAAGGATGGAGATATTTGGATTGTGTGGGTTAAAGTCACTGTTTACCCAATCTATTGTCTCATCATTGAAATTGCTGGCATTATTGCAAGTCAAAAATTGCAATACATTAAAGCACATAGTAACAAATGAAGAGCGTGGTCATGATCATGTGAATGTTAACCATATCTTCCCCAACTTACGGGAGCTTTATGCCTCATACTGTAGCCGCTTGGAACATATTCTCCCAGTTTTTTATTCGAAAAATAACATGAGCTTTCAAAATCTTTCCATGGTAACAATCCAAGGATGCAAACGACTGAAATTCATCTTCTGTGCATCTTCCTTAAGATGGTTGCAAAAACTGAAAAGGTTAGAGGTATTAGACTGTGAAGAGCTAGCGAGCATTATTGAGGATGAAGAGGATCAGAAAAATCCTATGCCTCCGCCTCAAGTATGTTTCCCAGAGCTATGTGGAATTATAGTGAAGCATTGCGAGAGTTTGAAATGCCTCTTCTCTAAATCAAGTGGTAAGCTTCCACGACTCTTGTATGTGAATATAGAAGATGTGCCTCGGCTTGGGCAAGTA